TCTCTCTCTCTCTCGGTACGAGAGGTTACGAGGGTGGCGCGGAGGGTGGCGGCGGAGGCAGCGACGGCGGCAGCGGCGGCGGCGGCGGCAACGGCGGCGGCGGCGGCGGCAACGGCGGCAGCAACGGAGACGAGGGGGTTGATTTTCGTTCGGGGATGTGGTAACGTACAGAACCGGGTGCAGAAATCGTGTGGGTTTCTATCCCCGCGGGCTATATCCCCGGAATCAGCTGCCAGATTATTCTATTACCGCGTATCAACATGGGGTTTGTTTGATCTGAAAACACGAGCCCGCCACATTGTTTCACCCAGATAAAGAATTTAACGTCGGGTAATTAAAAGGACCCTCCCTCGCGTCTCCCCGACGGGTTTCTCGGGAGACGCGACGGAACGTAAACGCGGAGAAAAGTCGCGGCGAAGAATACCCGCGCGATGTGATTTCGCGATCTTTAACGTGTCCTTTTCTTCTCCTCTCCGACGTTCTTCCTCGGGCGAGGACTCGTCTCTCCGGTGGTTTGTCGCGCGCAAATCCCTCCTGGGAACGTTTCAAACCTTCGCCAGTACGAACTTCGGTACCTATACATTACGCGCGAGTACTCGCCTCTACGAACCATACCGCTCTGCCTTCTCTTATCGTTGCACATTCTGTATGTGTGTGTGCGTGTGTGTGCGCTCGCAGTCGAATTTTCCCTCGGAAATCTGATCGACAAAAAGAACATTCTAATCTTCTATAAACTTTCCGCGCATATCGCACTTGGACATATCTTTCAAATTAAAAATAAAATATACATAAAACCCAGAAAAACATACACACACAAATGTTTCAAGATGTGTTTCGAACAAACTTCTAAATTATTGTTTATTTAGATATTCTAAACCTTGCGTAAACAAAAGTAGATAAAGAAACGAATTACGCGCGGATGGATTGATTTTTTATTGTTTGAATTAATGAACGTCAGTTTTTTTTTTTTTTTTTTTAATGTGCGCGCGAGAACGCAAATAAATTTGACCAAAAAAAAAAAAAAAAAAAAACAAATACATGTAATTTAAATATATAAAAATTATTTATTCAAATAATATAGTTTTTTTATTCTCTGTTTTCAAGTTTTTAATGAAAAATATACAAATGTAACTAGATTTTCCGTTCTCTTTTCGATATTGTGAAATATTGAAAATGTGAAAATTATGGGGCACGCGCACGATCTTGTCGTAATCGGAACGCGAATAATAATTACATTCGCGACACGAATCCGGTAGCCAGACGGGATCACCCTGGGATCTGGGATAAGAAAACGAGAGACCGTTGGATTAATAATCGTCGTCGTCGCAAAGCGTCGTCACACATTTCGCTTTTACGATGGATGATTAAATTCTATATATCGAAAATGAATTGTTGAATTATTGACTAGTAGTATGTGCGTTTTGTGTAACCGGCATTCGCTCTTGTTTAAGCAACGCTTTATTATATATTTAACCGCAACAAATTCATACTCGCCTCCCTTTTCCGCCGGCGATATTACGATAATTTAATTATTGTAATATTATCGAACTCTATCGCGACTGCGCATTAGTAATGACGTACAAATAATTCCGCCACTACAACACCGTACAATATGCGTGGTGGCGTAGGGCAAAATAGCTTAATTCGTCCGCACCGGTGCAGCCTTTGTTATTTTGTCGAATAATATTACGGCTCGTTTGTAAATTCAATACGTCGACTTTTTAACTTCTCGCCGACTGTGTACCGAGTGCCATCGATCGCGGGGCTCGTTTCCGCCGTGAACAATCATCGCGCGCGCGCGCTCCCATGGTCGCGCGCTATCCGTTCGTGCGTTTCTCTAACATATTTTTTATAACAATCTATTTCTCGTTGAATTTTTAACAATGACTGAAATTTTGTTCTATGCTCTTCTTCAATAAATTACAATCAACACCGTCGTGTTAAAACGTCGCGATTAACGAAGGTGTCGCTTCAAGTGAAGCGACGTGGAGCACGTGTCGCGTACTATGTTGTTGTGGCGATTCGGATTCTATACGAAAACTGTGTAGATTTGCTCGCACGCACGGGTCAGCTCCGAAAAAATATCAATCAACCTTGTTACCAAGTTAATAAAATATATATTTTTTTAAAATACGCGTAATAAGTTAATAAAATGTATTTTTAATTGAAAAAGAATTTTGAGAAATACATACATATACGTACACGCGAGTCAGTTTTTTTTTTTACATCGACGATCTGATTCAAGTAAAAAATTTTAAAAAATATTCAAAAAAAAAAACTGTTCGACTCGCAGTTCGGTTGATTGTTTTGCGAGCGCGTCATTTGTTCCCTAAGAAATTAATGGGGAAACCGACCATATTCGCGCGGAAGAAACACGCGAATGTGTCCATTTGCGCAGGTGTCGCGTCGCGAACATTGAGAGGCAGAAATTGTCAGCGGGCGAAAATTACGGGCGACGGTCGATTCATCGACGTCGAAACAATAACAATCGGCGTATGCCCGACGATGCGGTAATTAAAATAAAATTAATTGGATTGCCCGCGCGCGCACTCGCGCGGCCGAATCTTTCGAAGGAGATGACTGCATAGCCGTAGGGGTGTTTTGTGCGTTATTGCATATAATGCACTGTTTATTTTGCACTCTCTCTCTCTCTCTCTCCCTCTCCCTCTCTTTCTGTCTTTCTCTTTCTCTCTCTATCTCTCTCTCGCCTCTCATTCTCCCCGCGTTCCTCCTTTCGAATACATTATACACAAATACTGATACGCGTGTATATGTTATATGTACAATCCGCTTCTCCTCTCTAATTACCCCTCGGGACGACTTTCCGTCCAAGTTTCCGAAATTTTCGCCACAGCGATCTCTGTAATAAATTTCAATCAGGTGACGAGACAGTTTATTTTTTTTATTTTTTTTTTTTAGTTTTTATTTTTTTTTTTGCGCTACACAAAATATCACGTCGAACTCAAAGGGGAAAAATCGTGGAAAACTGCAAATTTTATAAATAAAAAAAAAAAAAATCTCAAGTGAATTTTAAAACCAAATTTGGATAATTGAGAAGACGCGCGAACTTGATCGAGAAAGTTACGTCTAACTTTAAGTATATAGGCGAGGAGTTAGGGGACTTAACGATACTCTTGCCGGGGATCCGTTGCCGGAGAGTTTCCGGCCGCGGTTCGAGAAACCCGTGGGGGGTTAAAACTCCCGCAATAATCGATTGCGATAATTCATTGATGTGTGTGTGCTTTCGAGGTTTAGCCGCGGCGCGCAAGCAATCAATTCGTCTTCGACGTCGTCCTCGTCGAGTGTCTCCGCGAGCTTTTTCATTAAATTTTTACCGGGAATTGTCTTGATCTTCGGGACTTTGCTCCGGAAAAACTTTTCTCCCTCGACGCGGCCCGATCGAGTCCGACAGTAGCCAAGAGCGGCGGGGATCAAGACCTCGAATTCCACTTCGACTTTGTCTGATGTCGAGATTCCCACGAGATACCACTCTTCGGCCACAACCGAGTTCTCTCTCTCTCTCTCGTCGAGAGAGGAATCGGTCAAAAGAGGAAGAATCCGCGCGGCTAAAAATCACCGCCGGAGAACGTGCAGACGTTAGTGCGCGACACGCGCGTTTCATCTCGACGCAAAAATAAAATTAAAAAAAAAATCTCTCGGTTCTGGTACACTTCAACCACCAAGTTGTCGTTTCATTAGCGTTAAACAACTTTACGGCGGCGCAAAACTGCCGTTCCGTTTGACCGTCGGAAAAAAAACGCAAGTTTTGCAAACACCGGGCAAAACAAAAACCCAACGCGGATATTAATTTCGAACGTTGCCCGAGTTTACAACCGTTGCGCGCTGTTTTCCTACAGTTTTTACAAGTTGTTAACTGTTTTTATCGGCGAAACAGGCCGGTTTGAGGATCAACGATTTTTTCGTCGGATAACATTCGCGGTTTTCAATGACTCTTATTTGTATGAAAAAAAAATTGCAAAGACGCGGTCAAACAAATCTTTGCAACTTTGTAACACACATCTGTCTCGTAAGTGTATTATTGAGAATTTGTTTTTTTATGTTACTTCAAGTGAAAAATGTAAAATTTATATTTTAACTTGGAAATTTTTTTCCTACCTCTTTTTTTTTTCTCTCTCTCTCTCTCCGCCGCTTTTTGAATTTTGTGACGAGTGTCGAACGAGTTTTTGAACAGCTAAGATTCCGGAGTTCGAAAACGCACTCAGCAGAAAGCTCCGCGGAAGGCTGTGCGCAGGTATATAAGGGCTCGCGTAAGCCGTAATGCGAATTTCGGTGGTTTTTCCGAGCGAATAGCGCGTCCGCTCGGAACAGATTTTGCGGCATTCGAAATACGATTTATTTGTTCGTCATCCGTGCACGCGCGGGGCTCCCAAATCCAATAATGATTTGAATACCGCTCTACCTAACCGCGGTACGATGTACGGTTTCGCGTTATTTCGGTCGCCGGTATATCGCGCCCCGTAATTTTATAAACACTTTGAAAATCTTGCGTCACCGACGGGCTTCGCGCGCCCGAGATTGCCTGTCGCTCGCGTGGGGCTTCGTCTGCAACCGCCAGGCAAGCAAAATAATTACAAAATCGTATACGAACGAAAACGCGGGGATAAATCGACGGAGGCTGCGGTGCGGCGCGCCGCCGCCGCGCCCCTTCAGCTCCCGGTATTTTTTCAGCTTCGGGAAGCCGTCCGCGCAAGCGGCCGAGAGCGTCTCTCTCGAAAGAGAGAATCTTCCCTATCCCTCGGCGATCCTTCCGCGACGGCCCTGCACACACAAATTTTCTCGAAGACCCGACCCGTTTTCGAGCGTGCGTTTGCCTCACTTCTTCTCTCGCTTCGAAATCAAAATTCGGATTATTTACGAGCGGATTTGCATGAATACGGTATAGCTGTACGTATACATCTTCGATATATCGTCTCTTGAGCGACGGTGATGTATCGCTAACTTCAAGATTGTGTCATTTTTTTTACTAGACGGCGGCGGTTATGTCAAAATTGCGAAAGTGATCGTTTGCGCGTCGATGACCGACGACAACGTCGTCGCAAATTTTAGGATCCAGAAACCCGGTTTAAATGCGGAAGCGTAACGTTTAGACGAAAATTTCGAATCCTTGTTTCGCAATTTCTTAACTAACTTTCTAATTAATGTTAATTAAACGAGCAACACACCCCGAAATGCGGCGGGAGAAATACTAATTGCCGTTGTGTGTCTAATTGCCGCAAGTGATTTCGCGGAATCTCGGAAATTCGAACTGAAGAAAGCGAACTCGAACTCGAGAAATTACGGGAATGGACGACGGGACTAATACAGATGCGACCGTTGATGACAGCAGCGAGTACGAGACCACCGACGAACACGAGAGTGCCGAGAACGATGACGATGAAAGGAAAAAATTCTGGAAAGGGAGATCGACTTGCGAGGGAAAAGCTTTGTGGCGCATATACATGAAATCGTAAGAGATACGCACACAAGGAGCTTTTTTTTTTTTATCGTAAATTTTGCCTCGCGCGCGATAGCGCAAATGAATTCGCAACAAAGCGATGCGCAGATACGCGGAGTCGCGGTTGCGGTCGGGAAAAAAAGTCGAAAAGAAATCGTACGACGTTCCGAAGTTGTGGCCCTTTGCGAAGACCGCGCGCGATGAGACGCTTCCAATCAACGAGTGCTTTCCACTTGGCGGTTTCCAGCTTGAACAACATCCCGAAACGCTCGATTCACAAAAAGATCCTTGCGAAAAGACGCGAATTTGGAACGTGATGAGGAATCATGTAAAAATAAACTTGATTAAAAGCCGGCCTTTCGGCCCAGAGCCTTGGGACTTGGTTTACACTTTTTTTTATCTCATCCACACCCTCGCTCATACTTCCTCATCTTTCTAAGCCTACTCCTTTCTCTCCCCTTTCTCTCTCCTCTCTCTCAGGTTCTCCACTTCCTTCATCCATGCTATTGCCTCCTTCTTACCCTTGTCACTTAGAACATCTTCCACCTTTAGCTTCTTCTGGTTCTCTGTGCGCGTTATTTTATGTTCAATCGTTCCTCCACCGAAAAAATTGTATTCTTGTTTTGAGGATATCCCACTTACTTTAAGTATATTTTATACTAAAATAGGCGCCAAGAAGAGTTTCTTATTTTAAGAGGAAAATCCTCTAAATAGTAATATTGATAAGAATATATACTGATTAGAATATAAAAAGCCTCTATAGAAAAACATATATATCTCACTATCGAAAAAGACTGTATTCTTAAATAAAGAATATATTCTTAATTTCAGAAGAATATCATCTAAAATCTTTAACAAGATTTTTTAAGTATAAAATCTTCTACTTACAAGAATATAATTTTTTCGGTGTATATATATATATACACGTACACCGAAAAAATTGTATTCTTGTTTTGAGGAGATATCCCACTTACTTTAAGTATATTTTATACTAAAATAGGCGCCAAGAAGAGTTTCTTATTTTAAGAGGAAAATCCTCTAAATAGTAATATTAATAAGAACATACTGATTAGAATATAAAAAACATATATATCTCACTATCAAAAAAGACTATATTCTTAAATTAATAATATATTCTTAAATAAAGAAAATAAATTAAATTAAGAATATAATATAGAATATATTCTATATTATAAAATATTCTATATTATATATAATATTCTATATTATAATTTCTATATTATTCTATATTATAATTAATATTAAGAATATATTCTTAATTTCAGAAGAATATCATCTAAAATCTTTAAGAAGATTTTTTAAGTATAAAATCTTCTACTTACAAGAATATAATTTTTTCGGTGTCTTGAGGAATCATGTATTATTGTTTTTTTTTTTTTTTTTTTAAGTTTATTGTTGTTAAGTTACTGTTGTCCGCGCGACTTAGTGTTGATTCACACTAGTAATCCCCCGAAACAGGACGAAAAACGAGAAAAGTTATTTCAAGTCGAAAGTGAGAGACGACTTCGCAAACGGCCGTGTGTAAAGAAGAAGAGACGCAGAGACATTTTTCCCTGCGACTCCCGGGAAGACGAGAGGGATAATTTTGGTCTGCGCAAATTGGAGAGCGACTTCGCCAATCGGAAAGAATTGGGACGAGTTCGCGCGATGGTGAAATGTTCGAGAGACACGCTGAGGTCGATGACGAGTCGCGCGGTCGGCGACCGTTCCGGTTTGGTGAACGGCGATTACGTGATCGTGGAGTTGACGCCCGAGGGAAGAGACAGACGCGTTTACGCCAATGTGGTCCTACGCGGGCTGAAGGGTATGCATATACCGGAGCTGAGTCAACTGCGAGAACGCAGGAACACGTGGAAGTTCTGCTTCCATCAGGCGATTGTGGCTTTGCTGGCGAAAACTCAGCTCAGGTATTTTTTTTAACAGCCGCGCAAACGAACGTTTTTTTCACAAAAAAGTCAAACGTTCCGGAGAGACGCACATTCTCTTATTAAATTTGATTTTTTTAATTCAGTTAGAGTTAATTTAATTCAAAAGAGAGTTTACTTATTTGTTTTTTTAAATAGTTTTGTGTACTTTCGCTCGTTTTGACTCGAAGAGACAATTCAGACAAAAAAATCGAAATTTTCAAATCAATTTTGTTGCAACTAACACTTGCGGTTTTTGCTTATCTTCTCGAGAAAGATATAAGCACGCGTCGAGCGCCAACGTCGATTACATCTACGACCTCGCTTGGTCGCTCCACACGCACATCGGCGCGATTAACGTGAAAGAGAAACAGCTTCTGGACGACGTTGTCGTGTACAACTACAGATATTGCATCGGGGTTGAGTTGCTCGAAGAAATGAAGGACGTGCCTGTTGTCGGGGATGTTGATTTTAATTACAAAGAAGATTGTTTGGATAAACAGATTACGTTGAGCAGAAAAGATCCTCTCGCGGTGATGATGGAAATCGGTTGTCAAAAAGTCACGGATTCGGGATACGTGTCGGTGCACGAGAACGTGCGAAAGATCGAGGATTGGTTCAATAACGTGTCCTCGCGATACCGGAACTGCATCTTTCGCACGACCAGATTCTCATTGGCCTATTGGAAGGACGGTCTCTTCTGGTATCTCTACAATCCGTATCGGTGCGACGAGTTCGGGTTCTGGAACGACGAGGGTTACGCCTGCATCGTCAAGTTCTGCTCGAAGGACTCGCTACTGAGACACCTAATGATTCTTCTGTTGCGAGCCTACGCCTATCGAGTGCCGTCGTCGTCCAATGAGAAAACCAGGAACGTGTTCGACGTTCAGATCTTTCACGTGATTCTTCACGATTGCCAGTTGCACAATCCGAAATTGCTGCAACGCGGCGCGTTCAAACGAATTGCGCGATGCGCGGACGAGTGTCCGCCGGCGAGCGAAGAGGATTCGGAAGAGGAGAACGGCGATCCGAGAGAGCCGCGGGAGAAATCCACGTGGTTGAAGCGTCTTCAAATAACCTGGGGTAAATGCGCGAGCAGGAAGAGACGAACCAAGGTCGCCAAAGCTAGATGGCATCAGTATTACGTGGAGGAGCCTAAGAGACTGTTTTCTCTGTGGGGAGATATGCACATAAGCGACGCTATGTTCGACGAGGCGAACCGGGGAATGCAGGCGTACGCGTGTTACATGGTGTGCGCCGGCATGACCAGGATAATGGCGCCGGAATATTGGAACCCGAAGATTCTCGACGTGATTGTCATGTGCGGTGATCGTTATTACACGCAGAGCAAGCTCGAGGCCGAGGTCAAGTCGACCAGGCGGGAACACGCTCACGTGAGCTGCTGGAACAAATATCTGTGCGATCGCTTCGAGATCGGCGAGACCTTGTTCGAGGCGAGAATGTTGCCGGCTGTTTGCGGCAGATTGTACGCCAGATCGGACGATTGTCTGTGGAAGTTGCTGGAACGGATGTTCGCCGATCATCACTTCGGCGTGCTGACGTGCGACGGTTCCTGTCTCGGCCTCTTCAGGTTCTGCGGCGCGTATTACATGTGCGACGTAAACTCGCACGGTCCGCCGCTCTTTCACCACGGCAACGGAGCGGCGTATTTGATCAGAGCAACGTCATTTCACAAGTTCGTGACGGTGCTCGTGCTGACCATCAACTCGTCCGAGAGAAGTCGGTTCGGTCTGAATCCTATCGAGATTCTGAGAGTCGTCGAGACGGATGCGAGGAGTTTTTCACGCGCGAGAATAGGCGAGAGAAATATATCAGGTCGGAAGACACGTCGGAAAGACACGAGGTTTCGGAGCGAACAAAAGCGAACAAAAGCGAAGAGGTAAAACCATCGGGAGGAAAAAAAAAAAAAAAAAA